TGTGAAGCGTCTGCAGCGAGGCCTCTGTCGGAGGAAACTGAGAGGAGTGAGGGGCAGCCCCTCGACACTGGGGACGCAGGAGGGACCAGGCCCCGGAGGAAGGGGAGGGAGAGACCGGGGAAGACCAGAGACAAGGACACGGGAAGCCATGCCTCGGAGACGAGGCAGGGAGGGGTGACCAAGACGGTGGTGCCACAGGAGTGTCTCGTGAGATAGGAGGCGACACGAGCAGGGGGCAGACTCAGGACCAGACCTGGACGCTGCAGCAAACACCTGACCCTGACGCAGCTACCTGGCCAGACGCAGGGAAAGGAGGAGACCCAGTGGTCAGGGTGTAGAGACTCGACCCCGGCGGACGCGTAAACGTGGCCAGGTGCCGTCCTGTGCGAGCGTCCGAGCAGTGGGTCACCCGCTGACTCGCAGGAGTAAACTGGTGAACCCCCGCATCCTGCAGGTCAGCACCACTCACCAAGTTTGTAGAGAATGAGGGGAGGTAAAGACCTGACAAGGTGCTAGAGGGGGTTGCCGGACACGGGAGGACAGTGGAGAAGTGAGAGAGGACAGGACCCCCAGAGGGGTCTGCCAGGGAGACTGCAACCGGCCGACCAAGCGGCGTGAGTGTGGTGCGGTCTCGAAAGAAGGAGCGAGAAGCCCTTGAGTCAAGTGTGAAGGTGAGGGAGGCCGAAGCCGACGTGGTAAATGAGAGCGCAGACTCACCAGCACCAATGGGCGCAGACGCACTGGCACCTAGAGCAGCAGCCTCACCAGCACCTAGAGCAGTAGTACCAATGCCATGGTCAGGCGGGAAACACCGGTAACAGTCACCCTCATCACTAATAGTCACAGCATACATGGCAGCAAGGATAGCATCAAAGTCAAGATCATAGATAGCTACACCTGCCCTAGACAGCTCTTCCCAGCGGGGGATCTCACTGGCCTCCGGGAATTGCTGACGCCAAGCGTCCGTCAAGCGGCCAAAGCAGCGCTGGGTGGGGTGGGCACCCCCACTCTGCTCACCCGCGCGGTCGCCGGAGCGAAGGACGTAGGTGCACGGACCAGAACCCCCACCACGCTGACGCTGCGCGTACCACTCACGGAGCTGCTGAGGTGGGGGGATGTCCCGAGAACTGCTGCTTCTGCTGCTGACGCTGACCACCACCGGAGCCGCTCCGCTGCGAAGCGCCACCCCGACAAGCTCCATCTCCTTCACCACCACCTCCTCCACCTCCGCCACCACCGCCGCCTCCGCTCCCACCGCTACCGCCTCCGCCGCCTCCGCGTCCACCGCTGCTGCCGACACCTCCACCCCCGCCACCACTCCCACTGCCACCCCCACTCCCTCCGCCGCCTCCGCCGCCACCTCCACCACCCCCGCTAGCTCCACCCGCGCCCTTGCCCCCCTTGCCCTTGCGAGAGCGGCGTCTCCCGCTAGGGGCAGACGCCGCACCGACCGACTCAAGACCAACGAGGTCGGCCGCAGCGGTAGAGGCGATAGAGGGCAAAAGGGGGGAAGGGGAATACCCCTCAAAGATGGGGGTGCGAGGGTCACCACGAGAGGCTCCCACAGCGACTATGCTCTTCTCCGCTGCTAGGAGGGCCTTCTCTAGGAGGTCAACAGTGAGAGTGGTGGGACAGACTGAGAGGAAGTGGTCCCTGACTACACCAAGGGAGTCAGGGAGGCGGGTGACTATATAATAGAGAGTGATGTACATGGGGGGGAGGGTTCTTGGCGCAGAACTCAGCAGGATGCGCGGCGCGGTAGCGAGTGTCACTAGTGCGGAGGTGCGTAATGACGTCAGCGACAGTGGGAAAGGCAACAAGGTCAGGGAAGAGGTACGGTAGGATGAGGCGGCTCAGAGCAGCAGTGGCAGGGGAAGAGTAGCGCGCAACTACAGCGTCGTACAAGGTCTGAGCACTCTTGTACTGACTAAAGTGCGTGCGCTCAGTAGTAGGCAGGTGGCGACGCACAGCAAGACGTGCAGCAGCATCGCGGGTGGCCCATTGGGAGTGAACAGTGGGGTCAGCATCAGCAGCAGGGGCAGGAGAGGCGCCAGAGGTGAGGTCAAAGAGAGAGAGACCGTCTGCCCTATCGCACTGTAAGAACAGCTGCATGTCGTCGACCTAGACCTCAAAGTCAATGGCTCCACCCTCAGCGTCAAAAGCGAGGACACTAGGGGTAGCCATGACAACAGTAGACCAGCAGTGCAAGTAGTAGGGGAAGGGCAGTGTAGTGGCAGAGGTGCTCTGCTCACCGGAGAGGGCTGCTTGGGCGGGTCGGCGGTAGGGCGGCTTGGCGGCTCAGCGGCTCGGCTGCTAGGCGGCTCGGCGGCTCGATGCTGGGCGGCTCGGCTGCACGGCGGCGCCGCTGGTGGGCGGCTGGGAGGCTCGGCTGCAGTGCGGCTCGGCCGCAGGGCGGCTCGGCGGCTCGGCAGCTCAGCTGCTCTGCTGCTGGGCGGCTCGGTTGTGCTGCTGCAGGGCGGCGCGGCGGTCGGCGGCTCGGGCGGCTCGGGCGGCGGGCGGCGCTGTAGTAGTTGAGGGCAGCGGGTCCGCAATTGAGGGCGGCGGGGTCGCAAGTGAGGGCGGCGACGGGCCGCAGCTGAGGGCGGCGACGGGGCCGCAACTGAGGGCGGCGGGGCTGCAACTGAGGGCGGGGGGGGGGGGGGCCGCAGGCGAGGGCGACGGGGCCGCAACTGAGGGCGGCGGGGACGCAGGTGAGGGCAGCGACGGGCCGCAAGTGAGGGCGGCGGGGCCGCAACTGAGGGCGGCGGGGCTGCAACCGAGGGCGACGACGGGGCCGTAGGTGAGGGCGACGGGGCCGCAACTGAGGGCGGCGGGGTCGCAGGTGAGGGCGGCGACTGGCCGCAGGTGAGGGCGGCAACGGGGCCGCAGCTGAGGGCGGGGACAGGGCCGCAAGCGAGGGCGGCGGGGCCGCAAGTGAGGGCGGCGGGGCCGCAAGGGAGGGCGGCGACGGGCCGCAGGTGAGGGCGGCGACGGGGCCGCAACTGAGGGCGACGACGGGCCGCAAGTGAGGGCGGCGGGGCCGCAACTGAGGGCGGCGGGGCCGCAACTGAGGGCGGCTGGGCCGCAAGGGAGGGCGGCGACGGGCCGCTTAGGGTGGCGACGGGCCGTGAAGGGCGCCGACGGGCCGAGTGAGGGCCGCGACGGGCCATAAGGGCGGCGCAAGGGAGGCCGCTAGGGGCGACAGACGGGGCCGCTAGGGCGGCTCAACGAGGGCAGAGAGGGGAGCGCGAGTCGGGGAGCGCGCTCTGGGCAGGAAAAAAAAAAAAATCTCGATGTGGTGGGCCCTAGGCACAGTTCCCGCGAGGGAACTTGCTCGATACCATGAGAAAGTTAGAACGCGAATGAAATGACTGAGGGAAAGTTGGGTACAAATACAACCCTAGAAAGCTGTACCCCATATGTGCTACCCCACTATAGCCTACAACAGCTATGTCATACAAATCTGACAAACGCTTGTTGGACGAATTGTCAGAACATTATAGCTTATGCTGTTGTGTAGGCTATAGTGGGGTATCCCATAGGGGGTACAACCCAATTAGGGTTTCCTATATGTAGTCACTTTGTTCATAGTTCATTCATTCGCGTTCTTCCTCTCACACGAATGAAGTGTGTCCTCGTTGCTGATGTGGTGAACGGGATCGAGAGATTCCCATCACCTTTCATGTCGCGCCAAACATTCTGTGGTTTTCCTGGGGCGCGCCAGACACCACACACCAGTTAGAGGCTTCGAGCCGCAATCTACAGTGAGATTCAAACAGGTTGTCAAGTGTGATTTGCTCAATCCCTGCCAATCCCAACCGAAGCCATCGAGCGCACCCTCGTTTCAATGCCACTCTCGCCACCTTCGCCCCATCCTCCCCAACCTCCTACAAGCCAGATACCTACCCATCTCGCCCAACTAACTCATCGTCAAAGCATCGATTGAGTGCTCTACTTGTCATTTCATCTTCTCTCCAAGTTTCCCTTAGCTTTTTAATGCCGACTGTCTATCGCGGAGCTTCTAACGTTCGTGTTTTCTCTTGCGTTTTCTTCATTTGTGGCTGTTCGAATACTACGCTATTTGTTGGAGAGATTACGATGCTCGTTTAGTTCGTCCCATTTTCTGCGTTTCTTACTGTCCTTGTCTTACACTGTCTATTGGAGCGCTTCTCGCGTTCATGTGTTCTTTGCCTATCCTGTATTTCTCGCTGACTGTTTGATTCGTGTTACAAGTGCTATATTGTTTGCACGAAATGCATGTATCTGGCTCTGTTTGGCTAACTGTGAGGGATCGCAGAAGTATCACTACGTCACGTAAGTGTTGTTTCAGGCTTTTGTTTTTCTCTAATATGGCATTGCTTTCCCTCTACAGGTGGATCAATCTATGTTTTCAAGTGCAAGAGTTGTGTAGTTCAGTCTGTAGCATCGATTGTCGAATCATCTATAGAACCTAGCAATTTTGAACATGTATATGTTTTTCTTAATGAATGGAATTTCGCAACGACTTTCAGAAATCAATTCTACAGCTCGAAAAACATGAGCGGAAGTCTGATATGGACGTTACGCCTTCCACATTTATTTACAGGCACAATATAAATGTATATTTATGGTCGTCAAATTCAGAACCATAAATGCTTCTACCATTAAGTTTCATCTATAGGTAGAAATACATGCATGTATATGTTGAAACACTAGACAGAAACAATAGAATAGAAAAGAGGGTTTTGGACTTGCTATAGAGTACCCCATGTCAGTAGATCTGCACTGTGGATGCCTGATTGATCCTGGAGAGGGTTACAGGCGCGTTCGCCTGGGGGGTTATGGGCGCACTGACCCGCTACTGAAACAAGCCCTTTTATCCCAATGGTCTTGTGGTTGGGATTCTGACACCCCACTGCAGGCTAGACAAATATGACATTTTGACACACCCCCATAGCCAAAGTGGGGTGTAATCAGTACAATAAGCAACAAAAAGCAATAGTTTACAATAATAAGCAAAGCTAGAGGCTATCACAGAGGGCAAGATGGGAGGAGGAGAAACTGTGGGGGTGAGAAGATGGGAGGCGACGGCTGAAGCTACAGACATACGGGCAATAGGAGAGCGCAGCACTGTGGCTACAAGGCGCAGAGCCCCGGACTACACGGCGACAGGTGCAACTGGCTCTCTGGGCTACCAGGCTAAACCCCCGGACCGTTGCGGACAACAAGACGGCTGCCTCCACTCAACTTCCCCCAGCTGTCCCACTCCCCTTTCACACACCCCCTGCTGTACCTGTAGCACTGCTCACACGCCACCCCCTTAGTACCACTCCGACGGCTCCCACACATCCACCCTCGTCAGCGGTAGCTGCAGCAGTGGGAGACAGAGGAGGAGGAGGAGCAGGGGAGGCCTCACACACCCGTCACCCCCATACTCGCCACCCCCAAACCCTAACACAGGCAAGCACAAGGCAGGAGCGGGTGCGCGCACGGCAGAGCAGGTGCGCGCGGGCCTGGTGCAAGCTGAACGGGCCGCACATGGGCCTGGCGCAGGTCGTACGGGCCGTGCACGGGCTAAACAGGTCGCGCGCGGGCCTGGCGCAGGTCGTACGGGCCGCACGCGGGCTGTACGAGCCGCGCGCGGGCCTGACGCAGGCCGTACGGGCTGCGCGCGGGCTGTACGGGCCACTCGCAGACCTGGCGCGTGGGCGCTTCGTTGGGCGACGGGGGGCGACGCGCAGGTCCCCGGGGGCGCTTCGACGGAGCAGCAAACCGCCGCGCACTCCCGGGGCGTGCGGCGGGCAGGGAAGAAAACCACGCGCGCCCGAGGCGCGCGATAGGCAAGACAGCAGCGGAAGCTAACGACGGTCCCATCCACAGGATCGACCTGGGAGGTTCGACCTGCTTTGATAGCATGTCAAAACAGTAGGCAGAAACGATAGAACAGAAAAGAGGGTTTCGGACTAGCAGCAGCAGGATACATATACAAAACCCTAAATTGGGCTGTACTCGCTATAGAGTACCCCATTGCAGGCTAGACAAATATGACATTCGAATAGTAAAAGCCCTAAATTGGGCTGTACTCGCTATAGAGTACCCCATTGCAGGCTAGACAAATATGACATTCTGATAGTAAAAATCCTAAATTGGGCTGTACTCGCTATAGGGTACACCATTGCGCAGCTGGTAATACTCGTCGATCCAGTGACCCGTTACCACTAGCAACGCCCTGTTGTTGGGCGACATCCACATGTCGATGGTGAACGACACCCTGCACCCCAGCTCCCCCTCCTTCGCCAGCATCTCCGCAATGGCTGACTGAAGAGCGGCAGCCGCATAGACCACTGTATCGCGGGAAACCGTCCAGCGTGAGGGGATGAAGTTCTTCTGCGCGCAGTTGCGGTTTAGCAGGATGAGTAGCTCACGAAACTGGAGAGGGGTAGAGACAAGGGGGGGAGAGGGGAGTAAACGTCAGGAGGATGGGATGAAAATAATATAGCACTGCACTGGGCCACAAGCAAACAGTCAAAACACAAAGGGACATACCCATCCACTAACCACATACTTGCCCAATCATGCATGGGATGGGATGGGGCACTTACAGCCTCGGCCTCGACGATGCGGAAGGGGAGGTCGCAGGTGACTACCAGCTTCGTGATCGCCTGCCGTAGCTGCACCGAGGTCAGTTTGGTTGTCATCCACCGCTCCATCCCGCCTGACCCATGACCTCCACCAGTCGCCATCCCTTTCCCCTTGGCGAGCTACGGCCAAGTCTTGGCATGTGGTCACTGATAGACGTAGCCATCCGGCACTCCCTTGTAGCCCCCACGCGGAAACGTCTCCCCTGGCAAGTGAATGGACGGGGTGTGGTAACGGTGATGCCACACATGCATGTGCGCAGTGTGGAAGCTTGCAAAGTGCCGCTCGCCGGGGGTTGTTGTGGATTGCTTCCACGAAATCCTGTCTGTGCAAATCTTGCACTGACGCTTATCGTCTGCCCCTAACGGTCCGAACATCATTACTTGCCACCCCGGCTTCCTATTACCCTTGCCAGTCCCCTTACTACTCTCAGACCCTCCGTCCTCGTCTAGGAACTCGGGAGCGATCACACCCTCGCCCAAGGGCTCCCCAGTGAACGTGCAGGGATACGCCCGCTCCCTCAACTCGTTCGCCTTCTTCCTCTGCCTCGGCTCCCTAATGGTCTCGGCCTTTCTCCCCCCCACCTTAACCCCCACGCTTCCTCCCCCTTCACGCACATGCTGTGATCCTGCCTCTGTCGCCGCCCTTCCACCACCCTCTCCCACCTCCTCCTCCAGCCCCTCTGGCTCCAACCCATCCATCTCGTGGTCTTCATCATCATCATCATCTCCCCCCTCCCCACCGCCATGCGTCTCTGGGTCCCACGCCGCCTCGCTGTCATCCCCGCTCCCCTCAGTGTCCTCCCTCCTTCTCGCCCTCACCATCCTCCTCCTCATCCTCCTCCTCACTGCCGCCCTCCGGCTGCGTCGGCGTCTGCCCCGAAGGAGGGGGTCGAGGGCCGTCGTAACGGAAAGAGCGACGAGAGGTCGGCGCCGGTACGGTAAGCAACCCCCCAACGAAGATCGCGCCGGCTCCTCCCAGTCCATCCCCTACTCGCCCCTGCATAGGTCGCGGTGGAGATCCCGGTGCGCTGCCCTGAGCCCTGCCTGCACCTTGACCTATGGATCCACCAGCCCTGGAAGCCATAAATCCGCCCTCGACCCTAAACCCTAAAACACCCTTCCTGCAACGGTAGCGTTGGATGGTGCCGCACGTTCCTAATGCCCGATCCGAATCCTACGGCGTAGGATACGCCCTACTTGAGCCCTTTGCGGAGATGCTCGCTGAACCTTAACAGTAACCCTAAACTCCCTACACTACGTTAAACCCTATGCATAGATCTATCTATCTAATGTCCGTTTACTACAAGTGTTCAAGGTGCACTTGCTTGCACCTAGAACAAGGAGTCTAGGGCGGCTGTGTGAGGGAGCGCTAAGGCAAAAATGACTTCTGAGTTTGAGCTTACGAAATGAGCTCAAACACAAATTGGTCGCGACCTAAATCTGGTCGCGGCCAATTTTTGACGCGAACATTTTTGGTGTTCGCGTGGCCCCCAAGTCCAACACGAACATGTTCGTGTTCGGCTTGGATAGCCGAAATCCTGGGGCGAACGTCGAACATGTTCGGCCGAACACCGAACATGTTCGGCCCGAACCATTTAGGCAAAAAAAAATGCCTGTTCGGTTCGCCTCGAACAGGCGTTCGGGATTTTGCTCATCCCTACTCTTACCTACTATATTTGTCTTACCTTTTTTAACAAATTACTTAACTCATGCAATATGAGTTTCCCTCAATTAACTCTTAGCTAATTTGTTACGCTATGCTCCGTGTAGGTCGCCTTCGCTTCATTTACATGCCTTCTCTATCTCCAGATGGTCCGATGGAAATGTAGTGTTGACCCAGATCCAATCAGATCTAACTTGTTCTAATCTCTTCTAGGCTGAGCTTAGGCTAGTAGGGATTGAGTAGGTAAGAAAAAATGTCATTCAAACCTGAGCGTACGCGCGTTTTGGCCGATGGCCTTTGTCAGATGGTCTCATCCAATTCAAGTCTTGCATGTGTTGTATGGCATGTGATGGCATGGAGAGGCACAACATCTGTCATGGCATGCCATGGCTCTGCATGGTATGACATGGGGTGATATGCCATGGCATGGCACAGCATATCATGGGATGATGATGGGATGGCATGGGATGATGATGGGATGACATGGGATGATGACATGGCATGATATGGCATGAAATGGCATGCATGGCATGGCATGGCATGGTATGGTAATGGATGATGTCATGGTATGGGATGATGCCAAGGAATGGGATGATGGCATGGTATGGGATGATGGCAAGGTATGGGATGATGGCATGGTATGGCATGGCATGGCATGGTATGGCATGGCACGGTTGTTGTGTGGCACGTGATGGCATGGCAGGCGGGTTGACAACAACAGCAGCATTGGATCCATCCCTCTCTCCTTCTCCTCCCTCACTTCACTCTTGTTGCTGTCAGTCCCTCACCACACTCTCCTTTCTCTTACACCCATTCACTCCCCATGCTTCATTTAGTTCTCTGTGCTGAGAAGCCCCTTCCACCATCTGTGCTGAGAAGCCCCTTGCACCATCTGTGCTGAGAAGCCCCTTGCACCATCTGTGCTGAGAAGCCCCTTGCACCATCTCTGCTGAGAAGCCCCTTGCACCATCTGTGCTGAGAAGCCCCTTGCACCATCTGTGTTGAGAAGCCCCTTGCACCATCTGTGCTGAGAAGCCCCTTGCACCATCTGTGCTGAGAAGCCCCTTGCACCATCTGTGCTGAGCAGCCCCTTGCACCATCTGTGCTGAGAAGCCCCTTGCACCATCTGTGCTGAGAAGCCCCTTGCACCATCTGTGCTGAGAAGCCCCTTGCACCATCAGTGCTGAGCAGCCCCTTGCACCATCTGTGCTGAGAAGCCCCTTGCACCATCTGTGCTGAGAAGCCCCTTGCACCATATGTGCTGAGAAGCCCCTTGCACCATCTGTGCTGAGCAGCCCCTTGCACCATCTGTGCTGAGCAGCCCTGTGCTGAGCAGCCCCTTGCACCATCTGTGCTGAGCAGCCCCTTGCACCACACCACACAACAGAGTACTTCTGCTGCCCTTGCATGCACCACCACCCACCTTGCACTATGCTTCCCGTCCCACCCTCTCCTCACTCTGCTCCTCACTCCCCTCCTCACTCCCCTCCTCACTCCGCTCCTCACTCCCCTCCTCACTCCCCTCCTCACTCCCCTCTTCACTCCCCTCCTCTCTCCGCTCCTCACTCCCCTCCTCGCTGTGTCTCATCAGCTCCATCCAGTGCAACGGGCTGCACGGCAACATGCCCTCCTTCTTCGCTGCATTGCCACGCCTGCAGCTCGTGTGAGCAGTGCTGGTTTAAGTTGCAAAGATGTCAAGACCCACCAGGACAATGACCCACCAGGACAATGACCCACCAGGACAATGACCCACCAGGACAATGACCCACCAGGACAATGACCCACCAGGACAATGACCCACCAGGACAATGACCCACCAAGACAATGACCCACCAGGACAATGACCCACCAGGACAATGACCCACCAGGACAATGACCCACCAGGACAATGACCCACCAGGACAATGACCCATACCTCTTTGTCGCCTTGCCACGATTGCTGTGCGTGTGATGTGACCATCCAGTGTGTGAGGCATCAAGTGTGTGAGGCATCAAGTGTGTGTGAGGCATCAAGTGTGTGTGAGGCATCAAGTGTGTGTGAGGCATCAAGTGTGTATGAGGCATCAAGTGTGTGAAGCATCAAGTGTGTGTGAGGCATCAAGTGTGTGATGCATCAAGTGTGTGAGGCATCAAGTGTGTGTGAGGCATCAAGTGTGTGTCAGGCATCAAGTGTGTGTGAGGCATCAAGTGTGTGAGGCATCAAGTGTGTGTGAGGCATCAAGTGTGTGTGAGGCATCAAATGTGTGAGGCATCAAGTGTGTGAGGCATCAAGTGTGTGAGGTATTCGTTCCAAGAAACCCTTAGACGCTTTGACGGTCTACCAGCATATCCACGCCACTCCGGCTGTAACTAATGTGATCTGGAAAACTCAGCTCTCTGCATTTCCCCCTCTCTCCATTTCCCCCTCCTCCATTTCCCGTTCTATCCATTCCCCCTCTCTCCACTCCCCTCTCTCCATTTCCCCTCTCTCCATCTCCGTCACCCTTTATCCATCCCCATACTCCCACTACTCCCCCACCAATCGTCCAACCACCACCCCCTCACTCCACTCAATACACCTCTTCCCCACCAACAGCTACCTCAACGACACTCTGCCAACCAACTTCCCAAGCTTCTCAGCCCTTGAAGTCCTGTAAGCCTTTCAAGTCCTGTAAGCCTTTCAAGTCCTGTAAGCCTTTGAGCTCAACAGCTCTCTGCCAACCTTGGAATGAGGTGGCTTTTCAGTCGACTCAAAAGTTTGTCCTTCTCCTTTCGATTTTATTGCAGTTTGCTTTTGAACACATATCTTGCAGAGTCGACTCAAAAGTCACTCTCTCACAAATGGTCCGTTGTATTGATTCAGCAAGGGTACAGACATGCAGTTTGACTCGTGATAGCCGTAGGCCCTCTGACCCTTTAACCCCCCCCTCTGACCCCCCCCCCTCTCACTCCCTCTCACTCTCTCCTCCTCTTCCCTATCTTCACATAAGCCTGTCCAACAACCTGCTGCCGGGCCATGTGTCATTGTAACAACCCGCAACAACTCTCCCCCCCTGCCCTTCCCATTCCTTCCCTCCCAACCTTAAATCCACAGGAGCCTCTCCAGCAACCTGCTACACGGCCGGCCATGTGTCATTGTAATGAGGCGACTTTTAAATCAACTCATAAGTCCTTCCCTCCTTCCTTATCACATCTCCGCAGAGCCCTCTCCAACAACCTGCTTCAGGGCTGTCCAATGAACCCGTCGGGCAGGCAATGTTCGAACATATGTCTTCCTCCGTATCACACTTTCCCTCACTCCCTCTCACTCTCCCCCTCCCTTTCTTATCTCCACAGCAGCCTCTCCAACAGCCTGCTTCAGGGCAGCATACCGCCCTCCATCGCACCCTCTCTAATCCCACCCTCCTCTTCTCCCTGTGGAGTCACTTTGGCCTCTCTTTGAGTCTCTCATGATCGCATCCCTCCCCTGTCTGAGCAGAATCCTCTCCAACAACCTGCTCCAGGGCAGCATACCACCCTCCACCGCAAGTGCTCCCAAACTGACAAAACTGTCAGTTCTATTTCAAGTTCCAATGAAACCCACCTCTTGGGCTGTAACAAGCCGCCCTCTTTGACAATAGCAAGTTTACTCTTGGAACATAGTAATCCGCCTCTCAAACTACAATGAACCCCTCTTAGGCCACAATGAGCTGCATCCCATGTCCCCCATGCACTCCCCCATGCACTCCCCCATGCACTCCCCTATGCACTCCCCCATGCGCTCCCCCATAAACTCCCCTATGCACTCCCCCATGCAGTCCTGGAGGCACCTCTTATTCGCCCCTCAGATTCCTATGCTGTGATTGGTTCCCCAGCCTCGCAATCCTCCCTCTCTGATCCCACCCTCTCTGGTTCCATCTCTGCTGACTCTTCTTGAATCGCTTCGACTACGCTCCACCATCCATGCAGCGTAGCCTGCTCGCCAACAACCAGCTGCTCCCTAACCCCACCTCCCCCCTCTTCCCCCCTCCCTTCTTTCTAATTTCTGTTATAAACCTATGACCTCTCCCCTCCTCCATGCAGCCTGCTCGCCAACAATCAGCTGTCACGCTGCCTCCCTGACCCTGCCCACTCTCTAGTTTATGTTATAGGCCTTTCACCTCTCCCCTCCACCATCCATGCAGCCTGCTCGCCAACAATCAGCTGTCAGGCTGCCTCCCTGACCCTGCCCACTCTCTAGTTTATGCTATAGGCCCCTCACCTCTCCCCTCCACCATCCATGCAGCCTGCTCGCCAACAATCAGCTGCAAGGCTGTCTCCCTGACCCTGCCCACTCTCTAGTTTATGCTATAGGCCTTTCACCTCTCCCCTCCACCATCCATGCAGCCTGCTCGCCAACAATCAGCTGTCAGGCTACCTCCCTGACCCTGCCCACTCTCTAGTTTATGCTATAGGCCTTTCACCTCTCCCCTCCACCATCCATGCAGCTTGCTCGCCAACAATCAGCTGTCAGGCTGCCTCCCTGACCCTGCCCACTCTCTAGTTTATGCTATAGGCCTTTCACCTCTCCCCTCCACCATCCATGCAGCCTGCTCGCCAACAATCAGCTGTCAGGCTGCCTCCCTGACCCTGCCCACTCTCTTGTTTATGCTATAGGCCTTTCACCTCTCCCCTCCACCATCCATGCAGCTTGCTTGCCAACAATCAGCTGCCACGCTGCCTCCCTGACCCTGCCCACTCTCTAGTTTATGCTATAGGCCTTTCACCTCTCCCCTCCACCATCCATGCAGCCTGCTCGCCAACAATCAGCTGTCAGGCTGCCTCCCTGACCCTGCCCACTCTCTAGTTTATGCTATAGGCCTTTCACCTCTCCCATCCACCATCCATGCAGCTAGGGATGAGCAAAATCCAGAATGCTTGTTCGGTTCGCCTCGAACATGTTCAAGGCGAACCGAACAGGCAATTTTTTTTTCCTATATGGTTTGGGCCGAACATGTTCAGTGTTTGGCCGAACATGTTTAACGTTCGCCCCAGGATTTCGGCCATCCAAGCCGAACACGAACATGTTCGTGTTGGACTTGGGGGCCACGCGAACACCAAAAATGTTCGCGTCAAAAATTGGCCGCGACCAGATTTAGGTCGCGGTCAATTTGTGTTTGAGCTCATTTTGTGAGCTCAAACTCAGAAGTCGTTTTTGCCTTAGCGCTCCCTCACACAGCCGCCCTAGACTCCTTGTTCTAGGTGCAAGCAAGTGCACCTTGAACACTTGTAGTAAACGGACATTAGATAGATAGATCTATGCATAGGGTTTAACGTAGTGTAGGGAGTTTAGGGTTACTGTTAAGGTTCAGCGAGCATCTCCGCAAAGGGCTCAAGTAGGGCGTATCCTACGCCGTAGGATTCGGATCGGGCATTAGGAACGTGCGGCACCATCCAACGCTACCGTTGCAGGAAGGGTGTTTTAGGGTTTAGGGTCGAGGGCGGATTTATGGCTTCCAGGGCTGGTGGATCCATAGGTCAAGGTGCAGGCAGGGCTCAGGGCAGCGCACCGGGATCTCCACCACGACCTATGCAGGGGCGAGTAGGGGATGGACTGGGAGGAGCCGGCGCGATCTTCGTTGGGGGGTTGCTTACCGTACCGGCGCCGACCTCTCGTCGCTCTTTCCGTTACGACGGCCCTCGACCCCCTCCTTCGGGGCAGACGCCGACGCAGTCGGAGAGCGGCAGTGAGGAGGAGGATGAGGAGGAGGATGGTGAGGGCGAGAAGGAGGAGGACACTGAGGGGAGCGGGGATGACAGCGAGGCGGCGTGGGACCCAGAGACGCATGGCGGTGGGGAGGGGGGAGATGATGATGATGATGAAGACCACGAGATGGATGGGTTGGAGCCAGAGGGGCTGGAGGAGGAGGTGGGAGAGGGTGGTGGAAGGGCGGCGACAGAGGCAGGATCACAGCATGTGCGTGAAGGGGGAGGAAGCGTGGGGGTTAAGGTGGGGGGGAGAAAGGCCGAGACCATTAGGGAGCCGAGGCAGAGGAAGAAGGCGAACGAGTTGAGGGAGCGGGCGTATCCCTGCACGTTCACTGGGGAGCCCTTGGGCGAGGGTGTGATCGCTCCCGAGTTCCTAGACGAGGACGGAGGGTCTGAGAGTAGTAAGGGGACTGGCAAGGGTAATAGGAAGCCGGGGTGGCAAGTAATGATGTTCGGACCGTTAGGGGCAGACGATAAGCGTCAGTGCAAGATTTGCACAGACAGGATTTCGTGGAAGCAATCCACAACAACCCCCGGCGAGCGGCACTTTGCGAGCTTCCACACTGCGCACATGCATGTGTGGCATCACCGTTACCACACCCCGTCCATTCACTTGCCAGGGGAGACGTTTCCGCGTGGGGGCTACAAGGGAGTGCCGGATGGCTACGTCTATCAGTGACCACATGCCAAGACTTGGCCGCAGCTCGCCAAGGGGAAAGGGATGGCGACTGGTGGAGGTCATGGGTCAGGCGGGATGGAGCGGTGGATGACAACCAAACTGACCTCGGTGCAGCTACGGCAGGCGATCACGAAGCTGGTAGTCACCTGCGACCTCCCCTTCCGCATCGTCGAGGCCGAGGCTGTAAGTGCCCCATCCCATCCCATGCATGATTGGGCAAGTATGTGGTTAGTGGATGGGTATGTCCCTTTGTGTTTTGACTGTTTGCGTGTGGCCCAGTGCAGTGCTATATTATTTTCATCCCATCCTCCTGACGTTTACTCCCCTCTCCCCCCCTTGTCTCTACCCCTCTCTAGTTTCGTGAGCTACTCATCCTGCTAAACCGCAACTGCGCGCAGAAGAACTTCATCCCCTCGCGCTGGACGGTTTCCCGCGATACAGTGGTCTATGCGGCTGCCGCTCTTCAGTCAGCCATTGCGGAGATGCTGGCGAAGGAGGGGGAGCTGGGGTGCAGGGTGTCGTTCACCATCGACATGTGGATGTCGCCCAACAACAGGGCATGGCTAGTGGTAACGGGTCACTGGATCGAAGAGAATTACCAGCTGCGCACAATGGTGTTTGAATTTTGCGAGGTTCACGGGCGTCACACGGGCAAGCAGATGGCGAGGGTGGTTGAGGAGACTGTGGTGCAGTGGGGGTTAGAGACGTGTTGTTTTGGGTTCACCTCAGACAACGCCTCCAGCAACACGGACGCTTTCAGGTGGATGTCGGAGGAGGGTGGTGGCTCGTGCTTCTTCAACTCGCGCATGCACTTCCAGTACGAAAGGGAGTGTGCCTGGGATGTGTGATGAGGGAGTCTGGGTGCGTCGTTCCTGTGATGTGAACATGTTGTGGTTGTAGTACAGGCGGGTGGGCCTATGCGGCTTGAGAGTGGTAGTGTTTCTCGGATCTATGCCAATGTGTACCCACGCTTCCCTTTCTCTCCGCCATGAATGTTTTGTGATGTGCGCAGATGCCTGGCACATGTGATCAACCTTGCAGTGAAGGCAGCACTCGCTGTGACCGCCATCCGCAAGTTGCTGAAGATTCTGAGAGAGATGGCGTCGTGGATAGGCTTCTCGTCGCAGCGCTCAAGGAAGTTCTTGGGCCTTCAAAGGACCCTGAACGCGCAGGGCAACCCTGCCAAACCGAAGCCAGCATTGAAGCTGGTGCAGGACAGTCCCACACGCTGGGGGTCGACCCACGACATGGTCGAGCGAGCCGGGGTTCTGCAGGAACCCATCTCTGTCTTCTTTGCCCAGACACAGGTGTGTGTGTGTGTGTGCCGGGTGTTGTGCATGTGGTTTTATGTGTTGGTATGTCAGTCGGGGTGTTTTCTTCTGGGACTTGCACCACTGCTGGCCATGCTTGACTAAACTTTTCGGACCTCCAACAACCTCAACCACCCCACTTTCCACCCGAACACCCGCCCACCCATACGTTCTACCCGACAGGGCGTGTCGAAGGCTGACAAGGCAAAGATGGACACCTTGCGCCTGACGGACGCAGACTGGGAGACTCTGGATTCTGTCAAGACCTTCCTCAGCCTATTCGCCAAAGTCTCCAAGGCTGAAGAGGGAGCGACGTACCCTACAGTGGGGATGGTCCTGCCGTACTACAACGGCCTGATCGACGCTATGGAGTCGCGCCTTGCCAAGGGGCCATCGGCTACGCTGAAGCCGATGATTGAGGCGGCGCTGGGTCTCTTGAAGAAGTATGAACTGATGTCAAGCAACGAGTTGTGGATCGCCACCTTCCTGGACCCTTCCATGAAGGCGGCGTGGTTCGACGACGCGCACTGGGAGACGCTGCAGTCCCGATACCGATCGGAGGGCGAGGCCTCGTCCCTCGTCAGGCGAGGTGATCCAGCTGGTTCGCGAACGCGTGGCCGAGTACCAGGCCCGGGCTGCAGCGATTGCCCCTCGGCCGACCCCACTTGCCCCAGTGACAGAGGAGGAGGGAGACGCGGCGGATGACGACGAAGACGCCGAGTTTCTCCCTAGTCGCCGACGCCTTGCGGCGCGTCTGTCAGCGAGCCAGGAGGCGGGGAGGGGTGGGATGGTGCAGGATGACGAGGTTGGCAGGTACTTATCTAAGTGGGTGCGGTGCGACGTGTCAGCGTTGGAGTATTGGCGCAGCGCCACCAACATGCAGACGCTCAGGCGAATGGCCCGGGATTATCTTGCCATCCCTGCCACGTCCGCGTCGAGCGAGCGCGTGTTCTCCCTCGGCCGCAACCTCATATCCTGGAAGCGGCACCGCCTAGCCTCTCAGAGGACGCCAGCTTCCATGATTCTTAGATCATGGTACACCTCACACCCTGGACAGAGGATAGGCGAGGGCCGCCGTGCACAAGGCGAGGTACCACCAGAGTTCGCCATTGAAGGCAAGGGGGAGGAGGAGGACCACGAGTGGGAGGAAGAGGAGGGGGAGGAGGAGCAGGTGGGGGTGGGTGCTGGCAACACCTCTGACGCGGAACATGCTGTTGTTGGTAGTAGCAGTGGTGTGCAGGCGTAGGATTTAATTTGGCAGTGACTTTTATATAGGCACTACATGATGGTGTCGTATGCTAGTGTGCGTTGCATGAACACATATACACCCTCCACCCCCCTATCTATCTTCCCAACCTTCAAGAATTTCGTGTTTCACCAATGTGACTATAATGAAAGTGGCCATAGGCGAACTCGAACATATTCGGTTCGAACATGTTCGAGTTCGCCCAAACATACCAAATGTTCGCCCCCAAGGGCGAACGCCGAACACCTCCCGAACCCTAAATTGTTCGCCGAACCGAACGGTGTTCGGTTCGGAAAATGTTGATGTTCGAGCGAACTCGAACCCAAACGTGTTCGAGTTCGCCCTTTGCTCATCCCTACATGCAGCCTGCTTGCCAACAATCAGCTGCCAGGCTGCCTCCCTGACCCTGCCCATTCTCTAGTTTATGCTATAGGCCTTTCACCTCTCCCCTCCACCATCCATGCAGCCTGCTCGCCAACAATCAGCTATCAAGCTGCCTCCCTGACCCTGCCCACTCTCTAGTTTATGCTATAGGCCTTTCACCTCTCCCCTCCACCATCCATGCAGCTTGCTCGCCAACAATCAGCTGTCAGGCTGCCTCCCTGACCCTGCCCACTCTCTAGTTTATGCTATAGGCCTTTCACCTCTCCCCTCCACCATCCATGCAGCTTGCTCACCAACAATCAGCTGTAAGGCTGCCTCCCTGACCCTGCCCACTCTCTAGTTTATGCTATAGGCCTTTCACCTCTCCCCTCCACCATCCATGCAGCCTGCTCGCCAACAATCAGCTGTCAGGCTGCCTCCCTAACTCTGTCCACTCTCTAGTTTATGCTATAGGCCTTTCACCTCTCCCCTCCACCATCCATGTAGCATGCTCGCCAACAATCAGTTGTCAGGCTGCCTCCCTGACCCTGCCCACTCTCTAGTTTATGCTATAGGCCTTTCACCTCTCCCCTCCACCATCCATGCAGCCTGCTCGCCAACAATCAGCTATCAAGCTACCTCCCTGACCCTGCCCACTCTCTAGTTTATGTGATAGGCCTTTAACCTCTCCCCTCCACCATCCATGCAGCTTGCTCACCAACAATCAGCTGTCAGGCTGCCTCCCTGACCCTGCCCACTCTCTAGTTTATGCTATAGGCCTTTCACCTCTCCCCTCAACCATCCATGCAGCCTGCTCGCCAACAATCAGCTATAAGGCTGCCTCCCTAACTCTGTCCACTCTCTAGTTTATGCTATAGGCCTTTCACCTCTCCCCTCCACCATCCATGTAGCCTGCTCGCCAACAATCAGTTGTCAGGCTGCCTCCCTGACCCTGCCCACTCTCTAGTTTATGCTATAGGCCTTTCACCTCTCCCCTCCACCATCCATGCAGCCTGCTCGCCAACAATCAGCTGTCAGGCTGCCTCCTTGACCCTGCCCACACTCTAGTTTATGCTATAAGCCCCTTACCTATCCCCTCCATCATCCATGCAGCCTGCTCGCCAACAATCAGCTGTCAGGCTGCCTCCCTGACCCTGCCCACTCTCTAGTTTATGCTATAGGCCTTTCACCCCTCCCCTCCAGCATCCATGTAGCCTGCTCGCCAACAATCAGCTGTCAGGCTGCCTCCCTGACCCTGCCCACTCTCTAGTTTATGCTATAGGCCTTTCACCTCTCCCCTCCACCATCCATGCAGCCTGCTCGCCAACAAACAGCTATCAAGCTGCCTCCCTGACTCTGCCCACTCTCTAGTTTATGCTAAAGGCCTTTCAACTCTCCCCTCCACCATCCATGCAGCCTGCTCGCCAACAATCAGCTGTCAGGCTGCCTCCCTGACCCTGCCCACTCTCTAGTTTATGCTATAGGCCTTTGACCTCTCCCCTCCACCATCCATGCAGCCTGCTCGCCAACAATCAGCTGTCAGGCTGCCTCCCTGACCCTGCCCACTCTCTTATTTATGGTATAGACCTTTCACCTCTCCCCTCCACCATCCATGCAGCCTGCTCGCCAACAATCAGGTGTCAGGCTGCCTCCCTGACCCTGCCCACTCTCTAGTTTATGCTACTGGCCCCTCACCTCTCCCCTCCACCTTCCATGCAGCCTGCTCGCCAACAATCAGCTGCAAGGCTGTTTCCCTGACCCTGCCCACTCTCTTGTTTATGCTTTAGGCCTTTCACCTCTCCCCTCCACCATCCATGCAGCCTGCTCGCCAACAATCAGATGTCAGGCTGCCTCCCTGACCCTGCCCCTTCTCTAGTTTATGCGATAGGCCTTTCACCTCTCCCCTCCACCATCCATGCAGCTTGCTCGCCAACAATCAGCTGTCAGGCTGCCGCCCTGACCTTGCCCACTCTCTTGTTTATGCTATAGGCCTTTCACCTCTCCCCTCCACCATCCATGCAGCCTGCTCGCCAACAATCAGCTGTCAAGCTGCCTCCCTGACCCTGCCCACTCTCTAGTTTATGCTATAGGCCCCTCACCTATCCCCTCCACCATCCATGCAGCTTGCTCGCCAACAATCAGGTGACAGGCTGCCTCCCTGACCCTGCCCACTCTCTTGTTTATGCTATAGGCCTTTCACCTCTCCTCTCCACTATCCATGCAGCCTGCTCGCCAGCAATCAGCTGTCAGGCTGACTCCCTGACCCTGCCCACTCTCTAGTTTATGCTATAGGCCCCTCACCTCTCCCCTCCACCATCCATGCAGCCTGCTCGCCAACAATCAGCTGTCAGGCTGCCTCCCTGACCCTGCCCACTCTCTAGTTTATGCTATAGGCCTTTCACCTCTCCCCTCCACCATCCATGTAGCATGCTCGCCAACAATCAGCTGTCAGGCTGCCTCCCTGACCCTGCCCACTCTCTTGTTTCTGCTATAGGCCTTTCACCTCTCCCCTCCACCATCCATGCAGCCTGCTCGCCAACAATCAGCTGTCAGGCTGCCTCCCTGAGTTTGCCCACTCTCTAGTTTATGCTAGAGGCCTTTCACCTCTCCCCTCCACTATCCATGCAGCCTGCTCGCCAACAATCAGCTGTCAGGCTGCCTCCCTGACCCTGCCCACTCTCTAGTTTATGCTATAGGCCTTTCACCTCTCCCCTCCACCATCCATGCAGCCTGCTCGCCAACAATCAGCTGTCAGGCTGCCTCCCTGACCCTGCCCTCTCTCTTGTTTATGCTATAGGCCTTTCACCTCTCCCCTCCACCATCCATGTAGCCTGCTCGCTAACAATCAGCTCTCAGGCTGCCTCCCTGACCCTTCCCACTCTCTAGTTTATGCTATAGGCCTTTCACCTCTCCCCTCCACCATCCATGC